TGTGTAGGATAGGGTTACAGTGTGCAGCTTAGTGTTATGGTTGCAGTGTGTAGGTTAAGTTTGCGTTATGAAACTTAGGGTTACAACAACAACAACAACAAGATTACATTTGTATAGCATCTTTCATTCTGGAGAATGTCCCAAGGCGCTGGACAGAGTACAGCATTTCAGACTCGCGCTGGGGTTCGGGGGAGAAGGGAGGGGAGGGGAAGGGGGGTGGCCGATGGCATGGTTGAAGAGGAGGGTCTTGAGGCAGGACTTGAAGGAGGCTAAGGAGGGGGCGGGGCGGAGTGTCTGGGGGATGGAATTCCAGAGGTTGGGGGCAGAGTTGCTGAAGTCGATCGGCATGTTAGTGTTTATTGCAAAAGGTTTAGAGTATAAGAGTAGGGAAGTCTTGCTGCAACAGTACAGGGCCTTAGTGAGACCGCACCGAGAGTATTGTGTGCAGTTTTGATCTCCTTATTTAAAAAAGGACACACTTGCCCTCGAGGGGGTGCAGCGTAGATTCACTCGGTTAGTGCCTGGGATGAGGGGACTGACCTATGAGGATAGGGCTGTATTCTCCAGAGTACTGAAGAATTAGGGGGAATCTTATTGAAACATATAAGATTCTTAAAGGGCTGATAAAGTAGACACTGAGGGTCTGTTTCCCCGGGAGGAGAATCTATAACCGGGTCACAGTCTGAAAATTAAGGGTCAGCCTTTTAGAACAGAGTTGAGGAAACATTTCTTCACTCAGAGGGCAGTGACTTTATGGAATCCACTCCCCCGAAGGCTGTAGATGTCAGTCCTCGAACATCTTCACGGCTGAGACTGATAGATTTTTAAAAATAGAGGGCTTTACGGATATGAGGAGAGGGCAGGTAATTAGAGTTAGGTCTGAAGATCAGCCATGATCTTATAAAATGGCGGGGCACAGGGTCGAGGGGCTGAATGGCCTACTCCTGCTTCTAATTCTTATGTTTTTATGTTCTTAAGGCTCTCCTGCTAACGATGGGGCGGGTGGGTCAGGGGACGGGGAGCACACCATAACCTACAGTGTGTAGGTTAAGTGTGTAGGTTATGGTTCGAGTTACAGTGTGTATGTTATGGTTATATGCAGGTTAGGGTTAGTGTGTTGGTTTGGGTTACAGTATGCACGTTATGGTTGTAATGTAGGTAAGGATTAAGGTTACAGTGTGTATGTTTAGGGATCGGGTTACAGTGCGTAGGCTAGTGTTACAGCTTGTAGGTTAGGTTTACAGTGTGTAGATAAGGATTAGGGTTATAGTGTGTAGGTTAACTTTTGGGTTACAGTGTGTTGGTTAGGGTTACAGTGTGTAGCTTAGTGTTATGGTAGCAGTATGTAGGTTAAGGTTGCATTGTGAAACTTAGGGTTACAGTTTGTAGGTTAACGTTACAAGGTGTAGGTTGTGGTTAGGGTTACAGTGTAGCTTATTGTTATGGTTGCAGTGTGTAGGTTAAGGTTGCGTTGTGAAGCTTAGGGTTACAGTGGATAGGTTAATGTTGCAGTGTGTAGGTTATGGTTAGATTTACAGTATATGGGTTAGGGTTAGAGTGTGTAGGTCAGTGTTACAGTGTGTAGGTTAGTGTTGTAGTATGTACATTAGTTTTACAGAATGTAGGTTAGGGTTTGGGTTACAGTGCGTAGGTTTGGGTTACTGTATGTAGTTAGGGTTAAGATTGCAGTGTATAGGTTAGGGTTACAGTCTGTTGGTTAGTGTTCACCACTAGTGTTCACCCGTCTCCGCCAATACCTCTCCCCAAAAGCCACTGAAACCCTGGTCCAGGCCTTTGTCACCTCTCGGCTGGACTACTCTAATGCCCTCCTCCCCGGTCTCCCCTCCACGACCATCCATAAAATCCAACTCATCCAGAACTCTGCCGCCCACATTCTCACCCACCCCAAACCCCATTCCCCGATCACCCCAGTCCTTGCCAGACTTCACTGGTTGCCTTTCCCAGAGAGGATCGATTGCAAGACCCTTACCCTTATATGCAAGTCCATGCATTCCTCTGCCACCGCCCCCCCCCCACCCACCCCACCTCCCTGACCTCCTCTCTCCTCAACACAGCACCCGTTGCCTTCATTCCTCCAGGTCTGGCCTCCTCCCCAACCCCCGAGTCCTCCACTCTACCCTCGGCAGCCGTGCCTTCAGCCACTGCGCCCCGAGGCTTTTCGATCGAGCCTTTGGTCACCTTCCTCCCCCTCCCCCTGGCTCCTCCCTGTGGCTCCTCCCCTCCCCTGGCTCCTCCTCCTCCCCTTGGCTCCTCCTCCTCCCCCTGGCTCCTCCCCATGGCTCCTCCCCTCCCCCTGGCCACTCCCCCTCCCCCTGGCCCCTCCCCCTCCCATGGCTCCTCCCCCTGGACCCTCCTCCCCTTGGCTCGGTCCTGGGATCCGTTACTGTGAAGCTCTGAGATGCTATCCGGTGTGGAGGGTGCTATATAAATCTAAGTTGTTGTTGTAGTGTTACTCTGTGCAGGTTATGGTTAGGGTTAGAGTTACAGTATTAAGGTTAGTGTTACAGTGTGTAAGTTGTGGTTAGGGTTACAGTACATAGGTTAAAGTTACAGTGTGTAGGTTAGGGTTCTGGTTACAGTGTTACAACCTCCATGGTTGCACAGTACAACTCAACAACGACAACAACAACAACAACAAGATTCCATTTATAGAGCGCCTTTCACGTTGGGAGGACGTCCCAAGGCGCTGGACAGTTGGCTCGGGACCCGAGCATTGGGGGGAAATGGTCAGGGTGAGGGGAGGGAAAGGAGGGAGTGAGGAGGGGGTAGAGAGTCGAGAGGGTAGGTGAAGGCACAGTTGAAGAGAAAGGTCTTGAGACCGGCCTTGAAGGAGGAAAGGGAGGAGGCGGCGAAGGCACTGGGGGATGGAGCTCCAGAGCCTCGGGGCTGAAGGCCCCGCCACCGATGGTAGGGCGGTTAGGGCGGGAGATGTGGAGCAGACCGGAGCCAGAGGAACGGAGGGTACGGGCAGGTAAGTAGGGGGATAGCCAGTCAGAAACCTAGGTGTCTTGTTCGACCCTCAACTATCTTTTCTCCCCCACATTCAAGCCATGACCAGATCTGCCTTCCCTCTCCTCCATAACATCGCCCGACTCTGCCACTACCTCACCCCTCAGGCGCTGAAACTCTTGTTCATGCCTTCATCACCTCCAGGCTCGACTATGCAAACACCGTGCTTGTCGGCCTTCCCAACTCCTCCCTCCACAGCTGCAGATAATCCAGAACTAACTCTGCAGCCGTGTCCTCTCCCGAACCAAACTCCGTGACCCCATCTCCCCCACTCTCGCCCAACTCCACTGGCTCCCTATCCTTCAGAGGATCCAGTTCAAGATCCTGGTCCTCACCTACAAAGCCCTCCATGGCCTCACCCCACCCTATCTCTGCGACCTCCTGAATCCCTACTAACCCGCCCGTTCCCTCCGCTCAGCCGGCTCCGGCCTGCTTCACTCCCCGACCCACCCGCCCCACCATTGGCGGGAGAGCCACTCTGCCCTCAACCTCCGGCATTCCATCCCCCACTCACTGTGCCTCGCCCCCTCCTTAGCCTCCTTCAAGTCCCGCCTCAAAACCCTCCTCTTCGACCATGCCATCAGCCACCTCCCTTCTCCCCCAACCCCAACTCGGGTCTGAAATGCTGTACTCTGTCCAGCACCTTGAGACGTCCTCTCGACGTGAAAGACACTATGCAAATGTAATCTTGTTGTTGTTATTGTATATGTTAGGGTTTGTGTTACAGTTTATAGGTTAGGGTTAGGGTTGCAGTGTGTAAGTTAGGGTTAGGGTTACTGTGTGTATGTTCGGGTTACAGTGTGTAGCTTAGTGTTATGGTTGCAGTGTGTTGTTTAGGTTTACATTTTGAAAATTTGGGTTAGGGTTACAGTGTGTATGTTAGGATTACAGCGTGTAGGTTAACATTACAGTGTGCAGGTTATGGTTAGAGTTGCAGTGTGTAGATTAGAGTTAGCGTTACAATGTGCAAGTTAAGGTTGTAGTGTGTTGGTAAAGGTCACAGTATGCAGGTTAGTATTACAGTGTGTAGCTTAGTCTTATGGTTGCAGTGTGGGTTAGGCTAAGGGTTACAGTGTGTAGGTTATGGTTAGGGTCACACTGTATAGGTTTGGTTTAAGGTTACAGTGTGTAGCTTAAGAGTTAGGGTTACAGTGCATAGGTTAAAGTTACAGTGTGTAGTTCAGGTTAGAGTTACAGGATGTAAGGTTAAGGATACAGTATGTTGGTTAGAGTTAGGGTTACAGGGTGTAAATTATGGTTAAGAATTACAGTGTGTAGGTTACGGTTACAGTGTGTAGGTCATTGGGAGGGCAGCCGGCTTTCTGGCACAGGAAACCCATTACTGTGCTGAGAGAATCCCAAGCAGATGGATTTTCCTGAAATATCTCTCCATGCAAATGTCCATGTGGTGTGGTATGTGCTCTCTCACTTTCTTTCTCTCTTTTTCTCTCTCTGTTTCTCTCCCTGAAAGTACGCACCTAACCCTAACCCTAACCCTAACCCTAACCCTAACCCACCCTAACCCTAACCCTAACCCTGCTTACCTAGTTCCGGAGTGTATTAGGCATAAGTTGGGAAGGGCCGAGGCTTGGGGAAGTCCAGATTCTGCGTTGGGGTAACTGCTTGATTCTAACCAGATAAAACCTCATAGTTTTCCATGGATATCACTGTCTGGCAAACTTTCCCGCTGCTTGCCTAGCTAGGACCACCCTACCCATTAGGGCTTTGGTTGCAGGGTTAACAGGAACTGAGTGAGTGGATTCCATGCCCCAGTCTGCCCTTCCGGTCCTACCGATGAACCACGTTAGCTGTGTTGTCATCAGCAGTCCCACGGAATACTTCAGACCTGCCTGACTCAGGAAACATAGGTACATTACATGATACAATAGGCAAGGGTTGAATGGCCTGTGATGATGTGCTGTTTTGGGGAATTTGGGACAGTTATGTTCAAATCTCTTGTCTCTGTGCAGATCCCATGTCTGTGGTTCCACAGCAGCAGCATTGGGCTGTGCTGCAGTTTATTGAGGACCAACTCAAGCGGCAAAAAAGATCGTTGGATCATGTGCCTCAAAGCTGGACTAAACGGGAGCATAAAAGAGGCAGCATTCGTGCAGATAAGCGAGGTAAGGCTGTCCGGAGGAGGAGACGGAGGAACAAGGGCTGTGTGCTGAAGGAGATTCACTTAAACATCACTGACCTGGAGCTGGGCTATGACACACAAGAAGAGCTGATGTTCAAGTACTGCAGCGGCTCCTGCGAAGTGGCTGAGACCACATATGACTTAATCCTAAAAAATCTGACCAAGAACAAGAAACTGGGACAGGACAATGTGCAGCCACGAATGTGCTGCCGGCCAACAGCATTTGAGGACAACCTCTCGTTCCTGGACAGTCACATGGCCTATCAGACACTGCAGCGCTATTCTGCCAAAAAGTGTGGCTGTGTTTAACCTTTCACTGCTGTAGTGAGTGAGAGAGGCACAGACACTGGGCTGGTGACACTGACTGACCTCTCCAGTCTTGTCTGTTCCTGGCTGAGTGAGGTTCTGGGGATCTAAGCCGGGAGCTCAGACCAGGGACCTGTGACCTCAGGCCGGCACATCGCTTCTTTACAGTGACATTGTGGTTGTGAGGTTCTGTCAAAGGTTGGAGTTTACTGTACAGAGTTTTTTTNAAATTGACAGTGGATCAGCAGATATTGGATATGTCGCAGAGATGGGGAACTGCGTCTGTCTGTCTGTCTGTCTGTCTGTCTGTCTGTCTGTCTGTCTGTCTGTCTGTCTGTCTGTCTGTCTGTCTGTCTGTCTGTCTGTCTGTCTGTCTGTCTGTCAGACAAATGACAATGAGCTGATCCTCAGACGTAAGAACCAAATATTTAAGTTATTGTTTATTTATTCAATATTGTTTATATCGAGAATCTTCATCTATTTATTAAACTCACATTGTTAATATTAGTCAGACAATCCTTCCTTCCATGTGCTGGCCAGCAACCACGACCCTGGCACACTCGCTGCTCACACTCATGGCCATCACAGCTCACACTTGCTGCTCACACTCATGGCCAACACTGATCACACTCATGGCCATCACTGCTCACACTCGCTGCTCACACTCGCTGCTCAAACTCATGGCTATCACTCTCACACTAAGAATCATAGAATCATAGATGCCCACACTTGTCCTCGCTGATCACAATTGTCCTCACACCAAATATCAACCCTGCTCACACTTGCCGCTCTCATTCATTGACAGTTGCACTAATGTGCTTGACACATTTTATTTTTATAATTAGTATATTTTACGATCTCAATGTTTTACAAAATAAACTTCTCTGAATTGCTGGAGTTTCTTGTCATTTGTTCACCTACAAAACACACAAATCACCAATCGTTACAGTCAATGTGGTAAAGTGCTGTAAAAGGTACTGTATTGAGTGTGAGGATTTTGTTCCGGTGATAATTGTACATTAATGGCTGTATGTTGCTCTCTCACTAATCCAGGGGAACAGCCTGGTTATAATTGTGGATCCCTGTAGCTTAATGGTGAGAGCACTCGTTTCACAAGCGAGATGACACAGGGTCGATTCAAGGATTATTATTGTAACATTTATTACAACATTATTATTACAACATGTGCACCAGTGCACATAGACCCAATTTTAATCCCTGTAATTTTGACTTCTTATCGAGCATTCTCTGATGTCACCCTGCATGAGGGGCGCTCTATAAATGCAAGTTGTTATTGTCATTGAGCACATGTAATAATAATCATAAAATCATAGAATTGTACAGAACAAAAAGAGGCCATTCGGCCCATCGAGTCTGTGCAGCTCTTTGAATAGAGCAATGTGATGTCAGTCCCACTCCCCGGCCCTTTCCCCATAACCCGCAAACCCGTCTCCTCAAATACCCGTCCACTGCGTTTTTAAAAGTAGTTATGGAATCGGCCTCCACCGCCCTTTCAGGCAATGTTCCAGATTCGAACAAGGCGCTGCATGAAAAAATTTGTTCTCACCTCTCCTCGGCTTCTTTTAGAGACTATTCTCAATCTGTGACCTCGAGTCACAGACACACCCACCAGTGGGAACAATTTTTCCCTCTCTAACCCATCAAATCCCCTCATGATGTTGAAGATCTCTATTAGGTCTCCTCGTAACTTTCTCTGTTCCAATGAGAATAATCCCGGCCTCTCCGGCCTTTCCTCATCATCACGGTCCCTCATTCCTGGTCCCATCCTCGTAAATCTCCTCTGTACCCTTTCCAATGCCTTAACGTCCTTCCTATAGTGTGGGGCCCAGAACTGGGGCAGTATTCTAACTGAGGCCTAACCAGTGTTTATATGGGTTGATCATCACCTCCTGACTCTTGTACGCTATGCCCCTATTTATAAAGTGGAGTCCTGTAGCTCAGTGGTTAGAGCACTCGCTTTGCAAGTGAGAGACCTGCGTTCAATTCCAGGCAGAGGGCGAAACCTCGGGCAAGTTTCCTTACTCCACACAGAGCCTAATAATAATCCCTCCAAAAACCCAAACCAATAATTAAATCGGTCATTTTCAATCTACGACTGTTTGTGTGACATTGCTGTGCGCAATTGGCTGCCGCGTTCGCCCACAATTATGCAGTCAATTCACTTTACAGTGTGTTCTGTGAAGCGCTTTGGGACGTCCTCCCGACGTGAAAAGTGCTATATCAAATGCAAGGATTATTATTATTATTATAAAGCCCAGCATCCCATATGCCCTTTTTACAGCCTTATGGGTATACATATAGGTGGAAATAAAAATAGAGGGCAGAAAATATTAATGGGAGTGGTTTATAGACCCCCAAACATGGCGATCACAATATAGCACAGGGTATCAATCAGGAAATCAGTGGAGTGTGTAGGAAAGGTAAAGGATAATAGTGGGTGATTTCAATCTCCATACAGATTGGGGAAACCAAATCGGCAAAAGTATGTCAGAAGAAGAGTTCATTGAGTGTATGAGAGATAACTATCTAGAGCAGCTGCCGAGGAACCGACCAGGGGACAGGCCATCCTAGACCTTGTTCTGTGTAACGAAACGGCGAGTTGGCAGTGTAGGTATTAAGAATCCTCGAGGGCAGAGTGATCACAATATGATTGAATTCTGCATTAAGTTAGAGAGGGATATAGTTAAATCCGAGGCAAGTATTCTGGATTTAAATAGGGCTAATTCTGTAGGTATGAGGAAAGATTTAGGTAAAACAGACTGGAGAATAAGATTAAGAGGTAAAAATGTAGACCAACAGTAGCAAATATTTAAGGATGGAGTGCAAAATTCTCAGCGGTCACATATTCCCTTACGGAATAAGAGCACCACAGGGAAAGCAATTCATCCGTGGCTAACTAGAGCAGTTAGGGAAAGCATCAAATTAAAAGAAAAGGCCAAAACTGCCCAGAAAAGCGGCAAATCTGAAGATAGGGAAAGTTTTAGAGACCAGCAAAAAAATAAAAAACTCATTAAGATCGAGAAAAAGGAGTATGAGGGTAAGCTCACTGGGAACATTAAGTCTGATTGTAAAAGTTTTTACAAATATATTAAGAGGAATAGGCTGTGAGGGTAAATGCAGGTCCATTTCAGTCAGAGACGGGAGAAGTTGTAATGGGGGACAAGGACACGGCAGAGTCCCTAAATGGGTACTTTGCATCTGTCTTCACCCGAGAAGACACAACCAGTCTGTCAACTATAGAGATGCACCAAAGGGATAAGGACAGGGAGCAACTTAGGGAAATTTTCATTAGTAGAGAATTGGTGCTCTGGAAACTGTTAGCACTAAAAAGTGACAAATCCCCTGGTCTGGATGGCTTACATCCCAGGGTTTTAAAAGAGGAGCTTATGAGATAGTGGAGGCCTTGTGTCTGATCTTCCAAAATTCCTTGGATTCTGGAACAGTCCCCATGGATTGGAAAATCGCAAATGTCACACCACTATTTAAAAAAGGTGGAAAGGAAAAGATGGGGAACTATAGGCCAGTTAGTCTCACATCAGTGATAGGAAAATTTTAGAATCGTTGATTAAGGATGTGGTAGTGCAGTATTTAGGGAGCACAATATAATTAGGCCAAGTCAACATGGCTTTACAAAAGGGAAGTCATGTTTGACAAATCTCATAGAGTTTTTTGAGGATATTTCCAGTAAACTAGATAAGGGTGAATCAGTGGATGTGGTCTATTTGGACTTCCAGAAGGCATTCGATAAGGTGCCGCATAAAAGGTTAGTCCAAAAGATAAGGGCCCATGGAATTGGGGGGAGCATATTAACGTGGATTGGGGAATGGTTAACGGGTAGGAAACAAAGAGTAGGGATAAACGGGTCCTTTTCAGATTGGCGGGATGTGACTAGTGGAGTGCCACAAGGATCAGTCCTTGGGCCTCAGCTATTTACCATCTACATCAACGATCTAGATGAGGACATTGAAGTTAATATATCTAAATTCGCGGATGGCACAAAACTAGGAGGAAGTGCCAACACGGAGGATGACATTAAAACAATGCAGTGAGACATAGATAGGTTTGGTGATTGGGCAGGTAGGTGGGACATGAAGTATAATGTAGGGAAGTGCGAAGTCATCCACCTCAGTAGCAAAAACAGTAGAGCGGGTTACTTTTTAGAAGGGGAGAGATTGGAAGGTGTTAGTGTCCAGAGGGACTTGGGTTCCTTGTACAACAATCACAGAAAGTTAGTTTGCCGGTGCAGCAGCAATTAGGAAGGCGAACGGTATGTTAGCATTCATTATGAAAGGATTAGAGTATAAGAGTAGGGAAGTCTTACTGCAACTGTATAGGGCCCTGGTGAGACCACACCTGGAATACTGTGTGCAGTTTTGGTCTCCTTATTTAAGGAAGGATGTACTTGCCTTGGAGGGGGTGCAGCGTAGATTTACTAGGATAGTACCAGGGATGAAGGGGATGAGTTACGAGGATAGGCTGAACAATTTAGGCCTATATTCTCTAGAATATAGACGAATTAGAGGGGATCTTATAGAAACCTATAATGTATCTGGGGAAGACGGGTTTGCAGGGTTATGGGGAGAAAGCTGGTGATTGGGGTTAGTGAAAGTGACTTGCTTTGTCAAAGAGCCGGCACAGACTCGATGGGCCGAATGGCCTCCTTCTGTGCTGTAACATTCTATGAATCTATGAATCTATGAATCATCAAAGGGCATGATGGAGGAGCTAGTGGGAGATCGTGTCCCCCGGTTGGAGAAACTAAAACCAGGGGTCACAACCTTTAAATCAGACACAGCCCTTTTGCACTGAGTTGAGGAAGAACTTCTTCTCTCAAAGTTCATTGAATGTATGGAACTCACTACCACAAAGGGCTGTTGACGCTCAGTCCTTGAACATATTCAAGACTGAGATAGATATGTTTCTTATTGCAAAAGGGATTAAGGGATATGGGGATAAGGTAGGGGAGGTGGTGGGGGGAGGCTGGGGGAGGGGGAGGCTGGGTAGGGGCGGCTGGGGGGAGGCTGAGGGGGAGGGGGAGGCTGGGGTGGGGGGAGGCTGGGGGGGGAGGGGGAGGCCGGGGTGGGGGAGGCTGGGGGGGAGGGGGAGGCTGGGGTGGGGGAGGCTGGGGGGAAGGGGGAGGCCGGGGTGGGGGGGCGATATGGGGATAAGGCAGGGTCAGGTTGTTAGCCGGAGTTAGATTAGAAGATCAGCCATGATTGAATGGCGGGGCAGAGGCTCAAAGGGCCGAATGGCCCTACGCCTGTTCCTACATGTTATGTTATGCTATCTACCTATCCTGACACCTTCAA